AACAAGGATGCAACCACAGTAAACAAAACTTCCCAATAACAATGAAAATCTAAGACTGCAAGTTGAAATACAAAAGTTTCAGAAGGCTTCTTAAATAGTCAAGCTAAACTGATTCAAGTCCTGCCACCTACTAACCATGTGCTGGAGGAAAGCAGGGAAGACCGCTCCCAACGACAGTCAGAAAGACTGTTCTGAGGCAAAATTTGCTAAATCTTGGCAAATTTTTCTTCACAGCAGACCTTATATAAAGGGTCTCAGTACCCACATAATCTGTCTTACATAAAATAACTGTTGCTTGAGGAGTAAATAGATCTCTTTTATATATATATATATATATATTTTTTTTTTCAATTGTGGACATCAGGACTTAATTTGTTTATGGTTATGGGGGAAATTTTAGGAGCCAAAGTAACAGGAGAGTGTGGAAAGACACCAAGTCTGAGAAAAAAGAGGTAAAAATACATTGCTTTCAGTGATGAAATTCAAGTTAGCAGCATGTAGATTTATAATGAGGGTGCAGTCTCCCAGATTCCAAATAATTAATTTTTAAAAACAGAAAAACAATCAGGTTTAATGTTCAATCCTTTTATATCCTACAAATTATAGTCCAACCAAGTTCCTCCCTTTCCTGTGAATTTTCAAAATTAAACATTTTAATTTCATGATAAATGCTTTAATTAGCCTCTGTAATAAGAATTTAGTCCTATAACTCTTCAGAAAATTAAGAGCTGCTTTGTTTTTCAGTTGCTCAGTCCAATTTTTCATTTGTTTATTTTTCTAAATAATGCAGCTTTTCTTCTCTCGGGCTAATGTCAAAATAAATTTTTATCACTGATTGGGTTGGAAGCCTATAAGGCATAGCATCACAATACTGAACTTGAACATTTCTGAGAAAGAACAGCTCAAAAAGACAGAAGAGTGAAAGTAAAATCTCTTTAAACCCATGTTTTGCTTTGCCGTCCTTGATTCTCACTAGTTTGCAAATGGAAGTTGAAAATCCTTATATATTGGCAGTGCATATTTGACACTAAATAGAGTGGTTGACATACAATAGCTTTTCTTTGACACAAATGATATAGATACCTAAATATTTTTGTTCATTTGAAGCACAGTTTGCAACTGACTCCTGGCCAAGAGAGAACACATTTGGTAGCTGACTATTCTGGTCAGAACAGATAGCATCTTTTGCACTTAGTAAAAATGTTAATCCACTACAAGGACCAAATGTTTTTGACTCTTAACACATTTGGAGAAAAATCTCAGCCTCAGCTTCCACTTCCTGAATTTCTCAACAGCAACTTCAACTAGCTTAAAATCAGTCAAATATCAAATTCCCCTGGATATAATGATTTTTTTGGCAAAGTTGTGATACTGGAAAAATACAGCAAATGTGAACAAAAACCCACAATGAACAATGACTGAGTCACAGATCGAACATCATACCATATTACCATTAATGGGAACAGCTAGGGAGGAAAACAGAAACCGCACAAATTCAGAGTAATTCAACAACAAAGGTTAGAATTAAATTTTATCAACTCTGTGTATCAACACTACGTGAGAACTGTGTCCTTAGCTTCAATCCAGCCATCACTGCCTGTGTGCCACTTCCTTCTTCCATGTTGTAAACACATATTAAACAACTCCCATGTCAGTGAGTCTCCTTCCTGTTTTCAAAAGCACCCTTCTTCTTCTAAGCACCATTATGCTTCACAATATACTAACCAAGGAGGAAAAAACAAACTGCACAATAGATCATGCAAAGGGGTGCAGTCACACACCTGATGATTTTATCACTACAAGAAACCCCAGTGGAAGGAATGCAAGTGCAGCAATAATCAGAAGAGTTTTGGGCAACAGCAGTGTTCAGCCTAAATACCTCATGTGACTGAGGACCTCACCATTCACATTGTGCCAGCAGTGACAAGGAGTCAGGAGATGGGACTCAACCTTCTGAAAAAATCTGAGCTTGGGATCCCCTAAAAATTATAGAGGACATGGGCAAGAGTCAAATTTATTCATCCAATAAAGCCTTTTAAGGAAGAAATTTTAAAAAATATAATATCCCAGAGTTTCCCACATTTACAGAAGAAAATATCAATGAATCCTCTGTATAATAGTTTAAATTATTGATTCAGTCATGCAGCTCCTAAATGAAAAAGTACTCATGGTTAAAACACTAATGTCACCTTCATGTTCGACAGAATATGCGATGGTTTGGAAGCTATTATTTCAAAACTCACATGTTGGAATTTTCTCATTGACTGCTCATACGTTTCAAAATTACTTTATAATTATCAACAGAACAAGCTAAATTAACCCTGAAGCTTGTAGTAATAAGAATTAAACTGCTCTTACTTATCTATCTACTTATCTGCAAACAAACCTAGCCATTAGAGCACCAGCTGGCATTCTGATGCACTGCACTCTGCTTTGATTAACACCTCTGCATAGATCTGTGCACTGTCTGTATGTCTATGCACATAGCTCCATACATTTATCCACTGATGTCAGAAGGGTGTTGGGAGAGAGGGAATAGGCTCAGGGAGCTTTTCATTACTTTTCCATTTAAGCACAGGTGACTTGCATATCCTTGGGTAAGTCACCTTGTGCCTCAATACTCATCTTCAAAAGTGGATTAATATCATCTCCCTGTTACACGGGACTACCATAAATGCAAGACTTCACCACTCTCAAGTCATGAGATACTAGACCAACAAGGTCAAGATGTTCATATTATCTTTGTACACAGCTGTGCATACCTTTTTTACAAAATTTTTAACAAAATAAGAATGATTTCATAAACCTAAAATCATTAGAAAAAAACACCTTCAGGAGAATCAGCAACATGTACAGTAATAAAAACAAAAGTCTATTTCTCCTATGAAATGGCCTTTCATGGCCTTTCATGTGAAGTCTTACTCATGTATTCATAACTTTCAAAACAGCTTGGAAACTGAAACGATCCCACACAAAAAATTGCACAAAACCCCACCAGAATATATTTTCCAAAACTCTGATTATGTGGTAGCCAGTAAGCAAACAACTTTTAAAATGTTCAATGTACCGTGAAAAATTTAGCTTCATACACTTGTTCACAACATCATAATGTTCCCTGTTTTGTATGATGCATAACCTGATTTTTTTTCATAGAAAAAGTAATGTTGTCTGATTTTAAAAAATATATATATTCATTTTTAATTCCTACAGATACACCAAGGTAGTATTTAATATATTCCATACATAATAAAGAATATTTGAAACACTTCAAAAATAATTTCTTGCAGGACTGGCAAGGGGGGGGTGAGAGACTGAGATGTTAATGGCTAATGGCTCGAACAATCAGCCATTTGCAAAAGCAGCAGGTGCTTTGCTGAGGATGAGCACAGTAACAGCCCAGGTGCAGAGGGTGTGAGCACCAGGGAATGACCATGACAAAGCAGCCTTTGCTTAGCAAGAAGCTGGGGTTTGAGACACATGAAGGAAGAAGCCAAAAAGAAGCAGATCCTGTGAGGTGGATTAATACTTTTTATCATGCTGATGTCCTTCCTTACACAAGTGGCTCAGTTGTAAAACTCCTCCCCACCTGGGGGACATGCTGGGACATTCACACATAGGCCTGAAGATGTTCATCCCTTCTGATGGGGCATAAGGGGCTCAACTGCACTGACTGAGAGGCAGTTGTCGTGTCTTAGAAGGTGTCATAAACCACCAAAGACTCCCAAAATACCCCCAGAATAATTCCTGGGGTCTTCCACCAGACGACTGCGCAGGATCCACAGCATTGCAACAGATCCAAGGTGCTGCAAAAGACAGCATAAAACTCCCCACCCCAGGGAAGGTGCCTGGGCATTCATCTAAAGCTAAGCATATATAAACCTTCTGGAATTTGTGTTTTGTGGGTTTCCCCCACCCCCTGTGGATCAAGATACCATTTAGACCAAAGGACATCAAAATTGCAACAATCGAGCCTTGTTACTAAATCCACAGACGGTGATATCATTCTGCTCTTATCCTTTCCTTCCCTTTCTTTCTCCCTTTCTTCTCAAAATACATTGTCGGCCAGACTAAAAAATTCCCGTTAATGCCTTAGTAAGTGCCTTGTGTCTGAATTTGCTAAGGTTGGCTAAGTTTAAGTTTGCTAAATTAAAGTTGGTGAAGTACTTACTTTACCTGGATGTTTTTTTAACATATGTCATGTATCTGACTCTATCTTAATGTTCTACATTTTGCAAGTAAAAGTTTGTTGTTGACTCTTCTGAGAATTTTGTTCTCTCCCATACATTGCCCAGCATCAATTAAACCACCTTCCCCTAAACCAGGCAAGTGAACAGGAGCACAATAGGTAAAGTAAGTTTGAGATTGTCCTTCCCTTTCCTTTTAGAGAACTATATCCATCAGGTCTTACTACCTCGTGTGAAACATTCTCCCTAATCTCTGTATTATTTGCAGTGAGCCTACAAACAATTCCTATAATCCAGAGCAATATTCTGAAAGTTTCTTTCTTTCTTAATGTCATTGACTTCTTCAAATGCTTACTAAACAATGCAAGTTATCAAGGACAGATCTGTAAAACCCACAATCGTGTTGATGACCCAGCTTCCAAGCTATGCCTTTCAAGAAGTTTAATTTAGATTCGACTCCCATCAGGCCCCTCAGTCTATTGCCAATATTAAGAATGCTCCTTTCACTCCAGGTTTTCATGTGGAAGGAATCCAGTTCATCCATCTCAAGATTACTCCAGAATATGAACCAAAGTACAGTCAGTGGGAAAATCAGAAGATTTACTGGTCTAAACTAAACAGCTAACACAAGCACACTTATCATGTAAAGTCCATAAATCAATTTCCAAATTTCAAACTACATGGGGTTTGGCATGTTCTGATTTCAGTGGAATTGTTTCACATTCATCCACAATAAGTAAAAGAATACAGGTTTAAAGGAAATTTATATATATCTTACACCATTTACCCATATATGCAAAAGATTCAGGAACTCACCATATCAGTATCTGACACAGGTCCAAAACTGGTCACATAGATGTTAGTGAAGACTTCAGTAATACTATCTGATATAAAAAGAAAAAAAGACAAGCAAACATTTTAAATTTGTAGTATTTTTTCTAACTCTCTATGCAAGATTATGGGACATTTTTAACAGGTGTCTCTCCTTGTTTACTACCCCTCACCAGCATCCTGTTGTAAATACTGGGGGTTTCTCTCCCACTTAACACAGAGGTTAACAAACAAGCATTTTTCCCACAGAGTAGCTTGTTCAAGTTAAGTTCAGCTATATAATCACCAGAAACTACACAAATATATCCCCTTTCTCTACCAGGAAAAATAACCACAGCATCGTGGACTTAACATGGAAGGAGAGTTCTGAACACAAAATGCCTTTGTTGCAGAGGTGTTACCTTTGTTATTGCAGACTTCTCCTATTAAAGCCTTTTTAGTTGAAGGCTGTTTTCTACATTCTTAATAGCTTTTTCAAAGAAAAAGACAAGAAAAGGCAATTATTGACTGTACCTAATGTAACAGAACAACATCCTACTTTTCAGTTGGGTGTATTTTTAAGTGGCACATATTTTAACATAACAGTTCCTTTCCTTGATATGCAGTGCTTCTAATACATTACTGTGGTACTGTGAACACTTTGAGAAAATGTCCTTCCTAATCATTGCAGTCAGACAGCCATGAAATCAGAATATTAGATATTGTACTGCAGGGAAAAATAACTGCTTAGTTTTCTATCTTCAGTTTTCAATTAGGCTCAAAATAGAATGATATTCACTAAGAGGGGTAGTATGCACAGGAAATTTCTTAACAGCAGTTGCCAACCACAGTCTGCATTCTAGACATACAGTCAGCATTCTAGACAGTCAACACAAGGAACTCTCTGCCTAAAGCCAGCTGCTGATTGGAAAAGAAAAATCTGAATATAACTAGGCACAATTTGACTCATGGCAGAATTTCACATTCCCAAAAATAATGCAACTGCCTGTTGTATAAGTGATCCTGCTGTTATATTATGATTATATTTCCATATTTAATAATTATTAAATGGCAGTAGCTAATAGTTTCTGTTTTCCTGAAAGCTGCCTTTTAACAAATACATGACACAAGCAAATTTTACTTCTAATTATATTGAGGCCAACAGTATAATCCCTGCTCCTCACTGGGAGAAACGAGTGGTGCTCACTCATGACAGCAGAGTCTCTACCAGCCACCAGGAAAAGGTCAGGACTGATCCAGGAGCAGCTGAATGGGGAGCAGTGCATTTTCAAAGGGATGTAGCTGCAAAGATACAGTGATTTCAGACAACTTGTGGAGCATGGGCGAGGAATATTCATTCATCTGTTCTCATCTATACAGAACCTTCTTTTTTCAGCCAAACGCTAGAATACAGGACTTCAAAAAGACCTCCTACCAAAAAGAGTATTTTTTTCAGGATTATGTCTGCTTTTTAAGCAAATAAATAAAGACTGACTCCTAAAATTCCTCTGCATGTCCTGAGATATGTTTATTTGCATGATAGAGACTTCTGGAATCCCTTACGAAGCATCCTTAGACAAGCTGAGTAGATTTCTACTCCAAACATCTTACAAACAAATTTTAAGTCAGTGGACAGAAAAGGTGCTGAGTCTGCACTGCTCTTGCTATTCAACAAGGGCAAAGTACAGGTATGGCTGAAGTATCCTACAAAAGCCACAAGTACATTTCAGAGGACTAGAGACTTCATGCTGACTGTGGGAGAGTCTCCAGAAAAAAAAAAAACAGATTACTATCTCCAAATGGTTACCTGGCACAGACTGGAATGAAATGGGAGAGTGACAAGAGAACTACTCTTCAGGAGGTAAAATGGAGCTGCAGGGACTAATTGTGAAATTTGGCCTGTAATGTGATGATAATAAAAAATATTAATTCTAATTCCATGAAAAGCACTGGTGTTACAAAAATATGACTGACAATCAAGTATCCCAAGAGCAGAGTATCAAGGCTAAATTCAAATATACTTGTATAACTTCAAGGAACCCTACACAGGCAAAATAGTCACATGGCAAATCTGTACCTGCACACTCCTCACCCCCCAAATGCTTGGAAACATGGTCCACTCGTAACCTCACTCTATTGCTACCAGTTATTTGTATGTGATTTATTATTTGACACAGAGGAATGATTTTAATATTTGCATAGAATAAACTACAGGACATGGAATCTTCAAGCTTGCCTTGCATTCCAAGTTTTAATTTTTAAAAAAATTCCCATATTCTGTTATATGATTTCTAAACTCTTCTGGATCTATTTTTCCATCAGAAATAAGCAGAGAAGACAGGAGAAAAAAACATATTGACCACAACTTATGCTATTAGAACAGTCTATCGATTCCCCCTGTTGGTTTGTGTTAAGAAAAAGTACACTAAGGGGGAAATGGCAGTTTCTTATATTTTTGCCTCTTATTTTCCAAATTCTGCATAGTTAAGAAGTTTCTATTCATACCTTACCTTCAAGAAAACAAGTCCTTAAAGACAAAAGAAATGTAATAAATCTTGAATTACTCCTGTTACTATTTGTGTTAGCAGCCTGAATCTTGTGCTTGTTTCTTCCTTGTTACTTTACATAGTGCTAAAATAAAGGTTCCTCTGAATTAAAAATTTAAACTTGAGGGTTCAAAATCAACGTCTACAAAAACAAAAAATACATAATCTTTTTTTTTTTACAACAGATATTGTAGCTATTGCTTTGAAGGAGTATATGCTTATCAAACAAACAATTCAGAAGCACAAAGCACAGTTTCAAATGGGCTCTCTAATCAAAATTCATCCAGCAGGCGTCACAGTCACAGGCTTTTTATAACTCATATTCTGTCAAGAACAGCACCAGTCATCGTACTTTAGCCCACCAGAAATTCAAACCGTTCTGGATCATCAGTTCTTGTGGAAAAGCCAAGGAATATACTCAGCTAAAAGATGTTCATGCAACATGTGTTTGCATAAAAATCTAGCTTGTTTTTTTGAGAAAAGTTAAGGACAAGCTTTTCCTACTGGGATTATAAAATTTGTTTCCTCAAGTGACACGTAAACATGTAACTAAAAGGCCTGATTTTCAAAAGTGCTTAAATCAATGGAGGCCCATATTGAAAAACAGTCTAGATTTTAAAGAACCCTCTGTTGGGAGGAAGGGCGGCAGATTCATTTATATTTGTGGGCTCTTAAGTTATTCTGAATCACTGCTTTTGAAAGTTATGCAAAGAAATGGGAACAGTAAAGGGTAAGGATATAATTTCTATTGAAGATGCTTCTTTTAGGGGAAAAAATCTCAGGCAAAGAATGTAACACATCGCTGCCACCATCACACGAAGTACTATAAAATTCTGCAAAGGCTATTACAGCACCATTTGTAACTTGCTTTGGAAATAAATGTTAAAAAAAGACCTATCTGACTTAGATCAGACCAGTATCTCAGATGATAGAAGCCGAGGGTAAACTGACAAAATATAGTCAATAAAATTAATGCTAAAGGAAGGAAGAAAAGCACATCCCATGGAAGTTAAAAAAAAAATGTAGTAATTATTAAGATCATATTGCATGTGGTTCTTAAGCACTGGTTTCTTCTGATTCCCCTTCCTTACTTGAACTGACATGGTATCATTACTGAAAAAAAAAAAAAAACAAAACAGAAAGTAAGAAAAAGGAACACATATACCAAATTGCAGAAGATTTTTACATCCTTAATTGTCTTTATCTGGAATGTTTGCTGTGTACTTGAATTACATCTTGAATGTTTAGAAAACATTAATTACAACAACTCCTCCATGAAGATAATAATTCTATTTTCCTCAATTTTCCTTGGGAAGCTGAGGCAGAAGGATTAAATTAAGTGTAAGTAAGGTGAAGTACAGGTGTTTGCCAAGTCTGGTTACAGCTGTCCAACACTAAGTAACAACAGTGGAAAATGTCAGTATCATTGACTTGCCAAAAAATTAGAAAAGGGGTTCAGAGCTCAGAGTTGATATCAGCAGCATCACCAATTCCTTTATGCCACTGTTGGGATACCCTGTCTGATGGTCTGAAATCCTGCTGACTTGTTCCTCTGCAGAAGAGCTGGCTCAGCTGAAGTAGGCTGCTTGGCAGAGAATTTGCAGTGGCTGAAGTCTAAACCAATCCAGGCTGAGTAATGGAGATGATCAGAAAAGTCAGATGAAAAGGCTCCTCATGAGCATTTACCAGTTTGTCAAAATGCTAAGATTCCACAGAGGCATTAAAATTTTCAGTGAGTTCCTTTGGTCTGCTGTCTGACAGCACTTTTCAAAATCTTTTTGAGTTCTTTCATACGTCCCTTCTCAGCTGCCTCCATCCCTGACAGGATACACAGAGTTCCAGTCTGTGATGTGAGGTAGATAGACATGCAGGATTCTGAATACCTGAGAGCTCTCCCTTTCCTGGAGAATGCTGAGAAAGCATTATCTTTATTGAAATAAATTTTCGGAGTATTTCCCATATTCGAGAATGACCTGAATATTTACTCATTCTCCCTCTCACCAAAATAATCTAGAGTCCTTTCTTCACAGAGGGTAGGGACAAAACACATATGGCTCACTCTATGTATGTTTAAAAGAAGAGAAGAAAGGAGTGTGATCACTACAAAATCTTCAGAAAGGTTCCAGATGTTTGTTTATGTGAAACTGTAAACTGAAAACTGGCTATGTTATTGATTAATGTGTCAAGGCTGTTTTCACAAGAAAACAGGCCTGGAAGATTGGGTTGGGCTTTTTATTTTTTTTTTTTCAATTTTTATTCAATAAAGCTGTAAATATAGGTTTTGGGCAGCTAAAATAGAAGACAATCCCTTTGAGGTAATCAAAAACCATCAGAAGTCTTCTTGGTGGGATAGAACTTTTAAAGTATACATAGGCAGTTCTAATGTATACTACAAAAAATATTCAGACAAACATTTTTTAAATGTAGAATTAATAGTGCCTGTGAGAACACTGGAAGGCTGTAACTGAAAGGCTGCTAAAGCATGCCAAAAAAAAAAAAAAAAAAAGAGAGAAGCAAAAATAAAATGC